CCCCAAAACCCCAAAACCCCAATAGCTTTAAATGAAGATTGAAAATTGAAAGAAACAAATAAAATGAGATTAAATTTGATATGATTGAAATTAATTCTTTTGCATTAGTGAATATTAATTAAAATAATTATTATATAAAGTTTGAGATAGCTTAAATTCATTTCCACTCTAATATAATTTCTGATATATTATTAAAAGGAGATTTTCTATAATTTCATTTGTAAAGTTAAAAGAATCATTGCCAAAATTGTCAAATGTCAACTCTAAATTTAGTTTCAGAGGCAAATAAAATTGATGACCTAGACGTTTTCGATATCGAACAATTTTTAGCATATCACAATGACAAAAGCAACAATTAACAATCTATTAATTATTATGAAGGAGAGAATCTATTAAGCTTACCCTGCTTAATTTAGAATAGGGTAAACAATAGCATATATAGCTAAAATAAGATTGAAGAAACTTGTTAAGATTTATTTGAAGGATCTGAAAATTTGAACAATTCCATAGTTAAATCAAGAAGAACCGAATGTAAATAGAGATCACTGAATCTAAGCTATAGGTTATTAGAAAGAGAGTGCTTCTGTGATAATTGCATTTTAAATATGATGGAATTAAATAATTATGATTCAGACATCATACCGAATCAAACTAATTATACTTAGGAAAATATGGAGTCAAAAGAATCCACATGTGAAAAAACAAAAAAGGTAAATCTTCTTTAGCCTCTAAGCATAAATCTTGCTAAAAGCAAAACTAAGATGGTAAAACCACGCAATATTAAGCTTATATTTGTATCTAAAGAATAGTAAAGAATACTCTAAAATGAGTTTGATAAAAATGCAAAATGGACAAAATCTAAAATCTCTGATCTCTCAGAAATAACTGGATTAAGTTATAGCAAAGTTTATAAATGGAATTGGGATAGGAGAGAAGAAAAAGAAAAAAACCTACTTTCCAATTAAGTTAAGATAAAAAACTAAATAGATGTAGTTTTCTTAACTTAAGTTATATCTAAAAATTCTAATGTTATACAACCATAGAGAATATTTAGGTTAGAGAAAGTAGCTTCTCACATTTGATAATACATTGTTACTTTATATTCTAAATTCTTAATAATTTATTATTTCCACTCAAAAATCTACCTTAATTTCAATCAATTGTCTCAATGGGGTTTTGGGGTTTTGGGG